TTACACCCCAGGACCACGCATAAAGAGCGGATCATTCTGAGCTGTACAGGGAACCATGGTCATAAGCACAATAAGAGTGTATGCTTCAAAAATAATACAGAGTCCATAAGGGACTAATATACTGATTATAGTCCTCCCTTGCCCCAAACCATGATAACCTCTGGAACTACAGACCAGTATTTTCCATGAACATAGATGTAAAAATACTCAACAAAATCCTGGGCAATAGAATCCAACAGCATATTAAAAAAAAACCCATATTCTCAGGCCAATGAATCAGGACAGAGAACCCAGAAATTAAAACATCCACATACAATTGATTTTTAAAACTGCCCAAAAGACATTAAATGGGAAGCAGGTGCCCTCTTCAATAAACGGTGCTGGAAAATCTGGATATCCACCTGTAGAAGAATGAAATGAAATATCTCGTTCCATGCACTGAATCAAACTCAAGGTGGATTAAAGACCTCGATGTAAAATCCAGAGCTATCAGGATCATCAGTGAGAAAATTCGGATATTGCTAGGAGGCCTAGTTCAGGGAATACATGGGCTGGCAGAAATATCAAAGGAAACATACTCCATAGAAGATAAAATAGATGAATGGGACCAATTAAAAATAAAGCACGTGTGTATATTGACAGAGTTTATTAAAAGAGTAAAAACAGAGCCCACAAACTGGGAAAAGATATTTAGTAATGACATATCACATAAAAGACTAATTACTAAGATCCACAGAATTTTACAAACGTGTATCAAGAAAAACACAAATCTTTGATAAGATGGGCAAAAGGCTTGAACCAACAATTCACACAAGATAACAGTTGAATGGCTAATGAACACATGCAGAAATGTTCCAGGTCATTAGTCATCCAGGAATTGGAAATCAAAACAACAATGTGATACCCCCCAAAGCCCAGTATTGTACCCCAATTTAAAAACAAACAAACAAACAAACAAACAAAAAGCCAGAACAATAAATGGTGGAGAGGTTCTAGTGGAATAGAGACACTTATCCACTGCTAGTAGGCATGTAAATATGTACAGCCACTATGGAAGGAGTGATTTTGACATTGTTAGTAGGCATGTAAATATGTACAGCCACTATGGAAGAAAGGATTTTAACATTGGTAAAATGGGACATCATTGATAAAACTCATATCCTGGCAAAATAGCCACATGACAGCTGAAAACTGTATACTCTAGCTTGTCATGCATTCTTTCCAAAAATCAGGACTTCTTTAAAACGCCGCGGGACACGGGAAAAATTGTTAAAAATCGGGACTGGAAAGCTGAGTCAGTAAATGAATAAGCATCTCAGCACTAGCAGGGGTCTCCACAGGGCTGCTCCAGCACCCAGGGCTGCATCAGGATAGGTCCATGTGGCTTCCTTCTCCTTGGGGATGTCTTGTAGGAAGTCAATCTTGCAAGCTGAAGCAGGGAACTGCTAAGGCAGCTGCACCCTGGTGAGACCATCACAAAGCAAGAGACCTGAGAACTAGAAAGGCGAAGCTCAATACCCATTTATCCCTCTGCCTTTCAATTAGCCCTACATGTGATTATCGGCCAGGTTGGCACAATTAACTAATTCAGAGTTCTTTTCTCTTTTTCTATTAGGTGTGACAGGAAATTAACAGATGTTTGTAATCATTGAAACATTGATAAATCTAATGCCACTGAATTATGCATGAAAAGAATGTTGAAAATATTTTTTGCAAATATATGTACCATGAGAAAAATAAGTTAAAAATAAATGACAGATATATTTGTTCACACGTAGTCAGAAAGTGATGGAAATCTTGTGGGCACAACATTTCAAAAAATTCTTCAAAATATTGAAAAGGAAAAGAGTTTTTGATATAAGCCAGAACCTTGAAATTATGAAAAGTATTATCAATGGAATAAGTAAAGTCTATATTTAGTATATTATTTGTTTAATTGCACTAAAAATCACCCTTAAAACAAGAGCACTAGCCATACATTATTGTATAGTTGTAGCAGATGAGAAAGTGAATAGATTAACCAGAGAACAAGGGAAGTGAAAGCAGAATTGGAAATTGAGGAAGCAGACAGTCTAAGTTCAGGGCTAATTTTATCAGATTTTGTAGGAGACCCAGATGTTTTTAGGACCAGATGTGGGAGCCTGGCTTCTTGAATGTGAGGATCTTGCAGGTTGACTGCCTTTCCCAGGGCTTCTGGATCCAAAAACATCCTTTAGCTGCCGGTGTCCTACAACACACTCTGTTTCTGCTGAACACATGCTAACATTCCCCTAAACGGATGGTCATGCACATTACATGGAATATACAAAACAACAACAACAAAACCGACTCACATCCTTCCAGTAGATTTCAGCTCACAGAACAACCCTATATCTTTGTCTTTGCTGGTGAGGAGAGTACAGTGTTCCTCAACTGCAGCACAAAGAAGGGGTGTGTGCAAACCACCATCCCTGCCCTGGTCCCAGAGTGAAACCGCTGGCTGTGAGGATGGGTGACCCTCTGGATGATGAGCGGGCTCTGTCTCTCCTCTGTGTAAGCAAACCGCTGTTTTTATATTTACTAGTTCCTACCCGCCCCTCCCCTGCCCTGCTAACTTGTGCTATGGCATCCTCATCTTTCCTAGTTCCATTAGATGGAAACTGAGGTAATTAATTTCAGAGTCATAGTTCTACATTATATGAATATGAATTCATCACTAAGAGTTATCCTCAGTTAAGTTCCACAGTGTGTTATGTTGTGCGTTCATTTTTTTTTCAGTCTAATACAGCCATCCAGGGTATACAAAGCATTGCATATATATGCCATAGCTATCAATGATACAAATAGCAGTTATATATAAAACAGGTATGTATGCACACATATGATTTAGTGTATGCATAAAATCTATAAGTGAATGAAAATTACAATATATGTGGAGTTTTCTGGTAAACATTTAAGAAGAGGGCATTCTTGGAGGGAAGGAAATCCTAGATACTAACAGGAAGCTCCTTGCTCCCAGGTCTCCCCCATTGCCCGGGCCCCAGAAATGTAGTAGCCCCTGTGCTTTCCACGACCCACGTTATCACTGTAGACCAATGCCATGCATGCAGTATGTGTGTTTGGGATGGCACGGAGTTCTCTTTCTGATTCTCTCCCACATGAATGGACAATGGTGCCCTCAGTGTGACTGAGCTCAGATGCAGGATAACTGATTTATGGGCATTCTTCTGGAGCTTGAGTACCAGCTCCATAGGGATGGGAGGCTGATGTCTGCTACTAAAAGATATTGCTCACAAATACTCCAACCTCTTCTGCAGGTTTTGGCAGATCCAGCTCTGGGATTCTGTAGTCACCAGAGACAGCAAAGATTAGGTTGAGAATCTGTGAGAGATTTGTCAATCCTGGGTCCAAATCTTGGACAACTAGAAAGAGGGAAAATAATGACTGATGACAAGTAATGGAAACCTTATTATGTCAACCCATTTTGGGAATCCGGACACTACCAGAGAGAAGTAACCGCTGGGCAGAAGAATCACAGGCAATTCATGACTACGGACAAGGTCTGTGGATCCTGGACAACCCTGCTCATGATGCAGTGCTTTTCACTATGTTTGAGATTTTATCTGGAAATTGATGAGATGTTCTGCATCTTGGAAGCCCCAGGAATGAAGTAGAGAAGATCCCAGTCTTCTCAGAAACTGAAAAGAGAAAGTCTGATCCCATCATCTTCGTTGTGATAACACCAATCCCAAACTCACTGTCATTAAGGAGATTCCGAATCATAGCGACTCTGTAAGACAGGGTATATTTTCATGTTGATAAACACACTCAGCCAAACGAAACGTGTAACATGTTAGCAACACCACTCTTGCTGAGAGAAAAGACAGGAGATGCATCAACGTGAAAGGGGCTTGCTTTACTTGGATCAAGCAAGGACTGAGCCAGAAGATTCCCCAAGGAAAGCTCCTGAAAAAAAATGGTGGCAGTGGTTTACAGATTTAGCCAAGGAAACCAATATGTAAATGTAAAGGATTATGGGTATGAAACAGATTTCACAGCATCCAGGGATGGTTATGAATAGGTGTTAAGTTGGGGTTAGGATTCTTTTTTTTTAAAATAAAGTCATTTTACTGGGGGCTCATATAACTCTTACCACAAGCCATCCATCCACCCATCCATCCATCCATCCATCCATCCATCCACGCATCCATCCATCCATCCATCGTGTCAAGCAAATTTGTACATTTGTTGTCATCATCATTCTCAAAATATTTTCTCTATATTTGAGTCCTTATTATCAACTTCTCATTGTTCCCCTCCCTCCTCACCTGGGGTTATGATTCTTAACAAGATAGGACTCTTTGTACTTCTTGGTTCCAAATGTCTTTTTATTTGGTGTGATGATGTCTTTATGGTGACTTGGTTCCTTGAAAAAGTCCTTCTGTTCCAAGTGATCTGTGACCTGAAGGTTGGGAATGTCTATTCTGACATGTTTGCCTGGCCACTTTTGGTCAAATGGATACTCATTTGATGTAATGGGATATTTTCCTGAGAGGAAAGGGCTCAAGAGAGACAAGGTATCAGGAAGGAAAATGCAGAATAATTATAGGCAATAAATGGGGTATTCCAACATCCTGTGGCACCATCTCAGATCCTAAGGGGAGGTTCCTGGGACAAGCTGTGGAATTTATATTGCTACACAAAGTTAAGCAGGTTGGGGCCTGGCCTCAAACAGAATGTCCAATGTTCATAATTGTTCTTACACTGTAGTTAGAATCTCCTTAGCTATCATATTCACAACAAATATAATCTTGTCACAAAAATTAGTTATTGAAGATAACTTTTTCAATCCCTTGATGTTTACTACATTTTGCTCAAATAAATGGTAAATTTATTGTTATTTATTGTTTGTTTTCTTTCTTTTTAGGAACTTGATAGTGATTGGTAGATATCAATGGTCAAGAAATGTACATATTATTTACTTTTCTGTTCCTCCTTCCAAAAACAAACAAGAGCTTTGGTTAAAATTCAAGAGTTTATTGAAGGAAGAAAACAATCTAGGAATGGACAATAATAACTGTAAGGAATCACAAAGTCCCACAATGAAAGACAATTTTCAGAGTTTAAATACATGAGGATTCTGAAAATTAAAAGAAAATTCCAATCCTTTGAACTTTACTACATTTGGCTCAAACAGACAAGGCAATATCAAGGCCACTATATAAAGACTGAGTCATGTAACACTTTTTGTTTTGCTTTGACTTGAGCTATTGGGAGAGAGAGTGAATGCTCTTCCTGGTAGCCTGTTGTGAGCGGAGCTGGGAGGAAGGTGGGTGTCTGGAGTCTTCATGAAGTATGCTTACTTTTTAAAGTCAGTTCAAAATGAAAAGTACTCATAAACAACAACAGAATTGGACTCCGGCCTGCATTGTTTGGTCTTCTTTACATTGAATCATAATACATAATGACCTCTGCAATCCCTGATCATCAGCAGCAAGGGTTTCAAGTCCTCACTTTCAGCAGCAAGAGTGTATTATCTTCACATCACTGGTTGTTAAGAAGCCTTTCTCCAGGCCTGATGCCATGTTCTTCCTCATGTGTACCTGACTGGTATAAGGTCTGGGATCCACGAGCAGTTGGCGAATGCCACAGCGCCACCACTCCACCAGGAAGTTTCTACAAAGCTGTTTCCTGAATCAAGTTCAATGCAGGCAACTGAATCAAGTCAGAAAGCAAGCAAAGATCATGGCTACTTATAAGGAAGACGTTCTAGTAATATTGGGAATGGCCTTGGTGAGGAAACGGCTACGAAATTTGAGCTGGGGAATTTTTTTTTTCTATTATGACAACGCACCTGCTCATTCTTGAAGGGAAGCAAGGGCTGAACTCTGAGAATTTCATGAAGAAACCTTACGTCATCTGCTCTATATCCCTGCGGTTAATCAGTAGTTACACAGAGGGCCACTCCAGAGAACCCAACCCAGTCAGAGGCATCAGTGTCCCCACGTGGGGAGATGTCTCCCTGTCATGTCAGTGGCCTGTGTTCTTGTTCTCACTCTCTAGGAGACAGCAGACACTATGTCCTCTGGTGCTGAACTGAGAGGTGCCTCTGAGACTCCTGCTCTGCAGCTGCATCAGGCTGAGGGTTTCTGCCCCTCTCAGGAAGGGGTTTCGCTCACTGTGTCTCTTGCACAGTAATACATGGCTGTGTCTGAGTCCCTCAGGCTGCTCCACTGCAGGTACATGGTGCTGATGGAGTTGTCTGTGGAGATGGTGACTTTTCCTGGGAAGGATGGGTTGTACCTGGGATCAGATTCACCGGGATAAATCATTCCTATCCATTCCAAACCCTTTCCAGGGATTTGCTTAATCCAGTGGATCCAATTCCTAGTAAAGCTGTACCCAGATAACTTACAGGAGTTCCCCAAAGACTCCCCAGGTCTCTTCAGCTCTGATCCTGACTGCACCAGCTGCACTTGAGCACAGACACCTGTGGAAATAGGATTCAGAGATGAGAGATTCCCTCTTCACACACACCCCTCCATTCATGTCGAACCCTGTGGCAATCCTGACCCGGGAGAAGAGCAATGAGGAGAGCTAGGGTGGCAGAGCCCATCTTGGAATGAGGATGGAATGGAATCACACTGTCGTCCCCAGATGGGTGGTGAGAAAGCTTCCCCTGTGGAGGTAGCCTGTGGGTCTAAAATGGATGCCTTCCACTTTGCATATTTCTGCCCTTCCCTCCATGTCAGATTCCTCTAACCTTAGAACCCTGGACACACAAGGTAGGGGGAGGAGCTGGTTTTGGGACTTCTGGGAGGGACAGAACCTGATCCTAGTAACATCACACACGCACGCACGCACGCACGCACGCACACACCTTGACCACAGACTGTATTGAACTGTGACTTTCCACTCAGTGCATCTCTCAGTCCACACTTGGGGGAGCATGTTTGAAACCTGGTGGGAGGCTGCAGCCCAAGCAGCCTGGGGTCCTCACAGATGGTCCCTCCTTATTGTCTGCGGGGTTAACTAGAGAAACAAATCCAGACACTCACATGTGTGTAAAAAAGAGATTTATATCAAAGGACAATTGTATATTGAGAAAACATCCCGACCAAGTCCAGATCAAGTTCATATTAGCCCATATGTTCGATCCTAGTCCATAAATTACTCTTCAGACTCGCGCAGCACATGCAATGATGCTGAATGCAGGAAGATCACAGGCTGGTGGGGCAAAAGTCTTGAGGATCCAGTGGAAGCATCTCAGTGCCGGTTTGGGTCCCTACATGGCTCCTACAGCTCTCTGAGAGTGTCTCCTCCACAGGAAGGTGAAGCAGAGAGGGAGTGTGGCCCGCCTCCCAGGAGAAAGAGAGAAAGTTCCCAGAATCCTCATGAGAGGACCACAGTCAGAAGCAAGTATCTTCAGGCTGCAACCTGATTGACAGGCTAGACTCTACCCCTATACTTATTTATCAAGTTAACACGAAATTATGTAACTGCCATAGAGGCCATTCCTCTTGTCTGAGATGAGGTGTAGTGATTTCTCACTGATTCACTATTGGGGGAGCGGACAACTAACTCATTTTACCATCTCATTCTCATTGTTACTCTTTGTACAATGTGAGTGTTTTCATAAGTAGCCAGCTACATCTTACATGAACTTATATTCTCTTGTACATTTAAAAGAATTGGAACAAAAAGATCATTTTAACAGGATTATATTTTGCTCATTTCTTCTCCTTACATAAACACCAGCCCTCAAAACATAGTGGAAGAAAAATTGAAAAGCAACCAATTGAATAATATAAAAGTATGTGAACTCTTCCAAAACCACACAAAGCCAAGCAATACAATCTTTAAACTATAAGGAAATATTATCTTTATCACATAAGTCTGATATTATTCCACAAACTAATTCAATGTTTTCAATTAGTTTGTAAGATATATTAGGGATAGATTAACAAGATTAACAGAAGTTGTAAATTTTAATTAAAAAAATCGGCACTACAATAAAAAAGAGAGCCCATAAGATCAAGAGATATCACTGCAAACTTGAAATAATTTGAAGAATTTAGTATACATTTTCAGAAAAACACTTCCTTGTCTGAATCATCCTAAAACAACGCAAGAGCTTAGGGCTCATGAGAACCCACTAACCTTTGGATGTTCTTCATTTAAAGGCCACGGCACTGGTTTTCCAGTTTCAGCTAGAAGAACCTGGGTACAAAGCAGAAGGGTTGAGAAAAGGTAGACATGATTTTCTTGATGTTGGGCCGTGAGGCACCCCTTGCACTCATCCCCCTATAACATCTATTCACATGGAGATTACCACCACTCTGTGCCTATGTACCCACTTTGGGTCCTCTTTGGAGCCCTGCAACTCCATTTCCACTTTGCACCCCTGATCAGTTTTGCTTGGCCTGTCTCATCCTCCTCGGTGTCAGGTATTAGCTACTTATTCTGCAATGTGAGACATGGATGCACTGATGCCGGGAGTCTCTGCATGCACGCATCAGAGAACTGATATGGATTGACATATCAAAATGCCACCCCAAATCTAGAGAGAGGTACATGTAGAGAGGCACAGCGGCGATCTGCTTAACAGGATCAGAAACCACTGAAACCATGTATTTGAAAATATATGTACACATAAATTAAAATGTGATAAATTTCTAGAAGATGAGTACTGATTGCTGTGACTGTGAGAAACCACTGGGGCCAGTCATTAGTGGAGCCCCATGTTCTGTGAGCCTTCACTGTAAAACTCAGCCAGGTTATCAAGTGAACATTCAAAACACGTCCTCGTGTTTCAGACACTGGAGAGGAAATCCATTCTAAACTTGAAAGAAGGTATATATATTTTTAACTTTTCATAGCTGGAGGTAAAATGTTTCCCTTATCAACTACACACGCCACATCCTACCCATGGCACTGAAGTGGTGGGGATTATGATTTAGAAAGGAAAGAATCTGCTCCTCTGAGGAGAGAAAAAAAGACATAGCAAACATTAATATTGTCTATCTCTTGCCATAATAGCCTAAATCCTCAGAACACTTAGCTCTGAGAAGCAGGGTGACAAATGTTTCTACCTCGCAGAAATAGTAAATAATATCAAATTCTCATTTATCTGAATTCACCAATTTCATTTCATCATCACCTCTGTGCCATTAATATTTAGGCTGTGTAGCATTGTGACACCTCAAATTTAACTCATTAGCCTTATTCAAGGTTTTCATATTTCATTTTATATTGAAAACTGAACTGAGTATTTTTTCAATCACACAACCAATCAACATTCTTTAGCAAATTGCTATAGCTTTTCCATGCAGAACACATGGTTCTGGAAGTGGAGTGCTGTATGAACCAGAGTCCTTCTTCATAGAAGAGGAGACCATGGGACAAAATGCTCTGCAGAGCACCTTGAAATCTGCAAACAAAGAGCGGGAAGACTAAACAGAGGATCACATTCTACTAGGGAGTAGGTCAGGTGCTGTAGTGAATAAAGCAAACATAAATAGCATTAATTAATTTCAAAATATAATGAAAGTAATACCTGAAGCCAGATGCCTCAGTAAAATCTGCCAAGTTTTAAAGACAAAATGAAGATGACTTATGATACATAAGCAGTATCATAAAGAGCAAATTCTTCATCATGCAAAATAGTAGACTAAGACTAGAATTCAGATTACTGAGCACCTGAAAAGAGACATGCAGGTACAGACTGCATCATACTTGAGAATGTCTGAGAAGTTTCCTTGCTCCTGGAACCAACTCCTCCAGCCACACCCAGGTCAGTCTCTCTAGACCTAAGTTGTGAATTGGCTTATAGTCCATTTTGCGTAAAGTGTGAATTAAGTCACTGCCAAAATTAGTTCACCCTCTTATTAGTTAGTTGCCAATGTCATAGTTAACTTTAATTCCAAAACTGGAGAAAACATTAACTTTAGTATTACATGACACACTGTTTTTGTGTATGTAGTGACCATTTTGACTCTAGGTAACTCTTTACTACAGACTAGAACTGGACCATAGGGTTCCCTAGACTGGAATCTTTGTGGACACAGCTTGTCAGTTTTTGTGTGCACAGGGACCCGATGGTAGGTGTTAATGG